GCCAGGCACCCACGAGGTGCTCATGTCAGGCTGTGTGTCGCTTTTAAAGTCCGCGTAGGAACGTGGAGTAGTGTTTCTAGGTGGTGGGACCGATGTCAATGTTGCAAATACGGTTCGGGTGCCGATCATGTGTCCATCACTATTGTGTTTTGGAAGACGGGCACAGCCATGGGCTTTTTCGACCAAGGTTTGGGTAATCGCAGGAAAGAAGTACAGACAAGTGTGGTAAGATAGAAGAGTTGCAATCGGACTCTATGTGCATGCTCAGCACAGACCCACTCAGTGCCTGTGTAGATGCAGGTGAGAGACTTTCATTCCGCATGGCGATTGGCTGTGTATGTTTGGAGACGTGGAGAAGAAGAGGTCGATCTCATTCATACCCACGGTTGGCTTGAATTCCAAGTGCCGATCATAATACCATCGCATGTTTGTTTTGAGAGACGGACACAGTCATCTATTTTGTTCTCCATGATCTTGGCAAATACCGGAAAGAAGTGAGGATAGGTGAAATGAAGAAGTAGGCGACTTGGTAGAGTTTATATACGCAACAGGTGCGTCACTGCTTAGTGGTCATGGCCAAGTTTTCTTGTTCTTTTGGTTCGCACATTCATTGCTTGGTCATTCGTTTCGGTAGTTTGGAACCAGTGGTCCACCTCATGCATTCGGCTCTCATGGTTATGTTTCGGATGCTGACCATAGATCTTGGTGTTGTCATTCTGGGGCAGGAAGAGGAGTACACAGCCATTACGCTTTTCTTCATGTGTTTTGGAATCTTGGCGGGGGAAGTACAGGAAGTTGTGGAAAGAGGAAGTCACGCTCCAGGACGGTATATATATACAAAAAGAGCTCGAAGCCCCTTGATAACCATAGGTAGTCTTGATAGTCGTTTCAGCACATCGTGAATTGCATTGGTCGTTTTGGATTCGCGACTGTTGTCGACCGGAAGCTCGGTCTCGCTTATGGGCCGATCGTCCACTGGATTTGGGGTTCGGTCATAGTGAACTGGGGCGACTTTTTGGAAGAGAAGGACACAACTATATCAACCGATGGTGTGCGTTTTGGAATAGCGCAGTGAGAAATGCGAATGATAATGAGAAGAACAAGAAGCGCCGCAGACCTTGTGTTTTACACGCGAATGGCATCATATCCATCGCCGCGAACAACTTTAGACTCTCCACATAGAATCTGGCATTTCGACTTTTTGGACCTGCAAGCGACAGGGCGTTCTTGTCTGTGTGATCACTTCTTTTATGCTGGGCCGCTCGTCATACAGCCGGCCCCATGCCCTTTTTTTGAGAGGAGAGAATAGACATTTGTCGAATGCTTAGTATTTTGGATTCTAGGAAGAAGAAGTGTAGAGGAAAAGAGAAGCCAGGAGTGATCGTTTTATGCACGAGATGCGTGGCACCATCACCGATAGCAACGCTAGCCTCTAGAAATCGAAACCATCATCTCTCCCTTCCAGAATCTCAGGCGAAAGAGCGTTCCTGCTCATGAAATGTTTCCTGTCGTGTTTTGGCGCTCGTTGTGACAATCTTAACCAGTATCTTTCGGCGAGGAGAAAAGGACTAACATATCGTAGTCGTGGTTTGGTTTTTGGTATTTGAGAAGGAGAGACATGGAGCAGAAGAGGGTTCAGAAGCTGTAATTTGTATGCACAAGGTGTGTTGAGCTATCCCAAAGGATTGTAGTGTTTTCTGCACACTACGACACAGGTATGCTTTTTAAGACTTTGAGCAAGACGTCAGTCTCGCCCATAAGTGGTTCGTACTCAGATATTAATGATTGCCAAAACTCAGTAACTAACAGGCTGGCAGGGAGAAAGCAGCCATCAATGGGAGCACACCAAATTTTGGTTTTTGGTATCTCGTAAGAAGGAGTGTAGAGAAAAAGTGATAAGATCGTATTGAGGGGTTTATATGCACGTGCAGCGAAAGGTCCCGCCGTGCTCATCCCGCATTCTCGTTCGCTTTTTCATACATCGTCGTCGGCTGGAACGTTTCGAGCTGACAAGCCAGAGTTCGGTCTGCTCATGGACATGGCAAACATGGTTTTTAGACTGTCTTCATGGCTTTCTAATATTGTATTTTCAGGAAAGCAGAATGAACAAAGCAGACATGAAAACAGGTCCTCGATCTTCTAGTTCTGCAGAGAGAGGGCTAGGAAAGAAGAATGCTCGCAGCTCGCGCATTATAAGTTTGGCGGGGGAAAGACGACGAGCACATGAGTTGTAGCAGATGTGGAGTTTTCTGCACATCTCGAGCTTTTCGTTGCGGGTCTGAGTATACCAGCGGAAGCCCTCTCTTTCTCATGAAGTCGTGATCTCATCTTTTCTGGTTCTCAACATATCAACAGCCTGGTTGAGTTTTCAGAGATCGAGAAAACGGCCATCACCACTGACCATCTCTCTTCTGATGCCCGTGAAGGAATGTTTCGGAGCAGGAAGACAGGGTGTGGGTTGTGGTTTATATACGCCGGCGAGGACAAGAAGAACACCGCTCATGTAAGCCAATTAACACACTTTCAACACTTCGTAGATTCTGCGCAGCTTTTGGGAGTTTCCAGCGACATCAACGCGTAGTGTGTCTTTTTCAAAGCAGGGACTTACAGGTCTACGTCATCCCATTCTCAAGGAACTGTTTCGAAGAACCGCAGAGCCATTAAAGGAAAGAATTTGTTTTTATTAGCAGATGTCTTGGGTGTAGTGGGTTGGAGCAAAGAAGGGGGTAGGCAGGTAGTAGACCGCGGTTTTATGTACACCAAGCAGCGACGGAGGCACGAGTACTCATGGTGTCGTTGCCATAATATTTTACTAATGCATCGAAGCCCAAGAAGATTTGCATATTCCAGGAGAAGGGTGCGCGTATTCATGCCATCTATCCAATTCAGTTTTTGGACGCGCATAGCATCTTGGGCATGCGTTTTTCGGAAGTAAAGCGCACCATGTCTTGAGGAGCCGGCGTTTTTGACAAAACTGAAGGAAGTGGGTGATTGAAAGAGAAGGACAAGGTCGGCGTCGTGGTTTATATACACTGGTGAGGCCGCCTCAACGATGATGGCAAGTAGATGAATACCTTTTGCTCGTGTTTGCCGGGTCTTTCGTAGAGTTTCATGGAAGTTTTGGTACTATTCCGGTCTTTTTCATAATATCTTTCGCTAGGAATTTGGGGTTATCTGCATGGCAAGGTACTTCAGAGCAATTGAGAAGACCGGGAACAGCCATATCATGATGGGAGATGTCTTTTAGGAATGCCTTCAAGGACAAGTAGAATGTACAGTGTAGGTGGAAGAAGTGAGGAAATGGCTGGTATATATAGCCGAGAGCCCGGCCGTGTCGAGGGCTTCTCCATAGTCGAGCCATGTTTCTGGTTTGAAACTAACAAAAAGGCTTTCAGATCGAGTTCATACCCCCGGGAGAAGCGCTCATGATGGCGTTTCACCACATATTCATGACGTATACAATCTTGGAAAGATGCACACATGTGATCCTCTTATCCCTATCCTGAAGAAAGACGGGATGTGTGTCCATGGTTTGACACAGAATGTAGAGTGGTGAGATCGTACTTGTAGATTGATCACGATCTCGGGTGAGAGGTTCACGGCGTTTATCTCTAAAGGGGTTGGAAGACTGGAGAACATGTACTCCATATTCGCAGTTTTGTATAGGCGCAGTCATTCGCGCAATTTGTAGTCGTTTTTGGTGGAACTGTCGAAAAGAGAGGTGTCAAGGAGAAGTGGTCTGCAAGTGCGGCGTATTATATGAGTTAGAAGAGCGGAAAGGCGACCCATGATCCCCGAGCAGGAATCTTTGGAAAGAGGGAATTACATCGCTGGAATCGTACGGTTCTTTCTTGCGGGTACCGACATACGGCGAGAGAATCTAACTTTTGGTAGAGAGTAAAGTGTGTGATGATAAGAAGCAATTGCTTCCCCACGCAGAGTATCGACGTATGTCGTGGGATGTTAGGAGCAACCCATGTATTTCCTGAATCGCTTGTTTGGAGGTGAAAGCGACATCTATTTTGCCTTGCAGTTTGTTGGAACCACAGACATTTGCCATCAATGTTTTGTTTTGGAGAAGGCAGACATCATAAACACGGATGTTTGTTTTGGTAATTGGAGAAGTAAGTATTGATGAGGAGTATGCGCCCAAGCGGTAGGTTTATATGCCGCGAGACGAGCGAGAGCGGGTCATGTTCTCAGTCTTTCCGGATTTCCCAGACGACCATGGATAGCGGCCAACATCTTTTATCTGAAGCCAGGGCTGTGAAGGTTCTCAACAGGGGAGGAAGACATGGGATGGCCAACATATAGCATCGGTTTGGAGGATACAGGGTTCTGCAATGATTAGAATTTAAGTCACGCAGTACGCGAACTGCTCATCACGAACTCCTTCGCAAATTTTCGAGGCAGAAAGAAGACATCGGGCGGACCAGGTAGATCTTTTGGAGGAAATAAACAAATTGTGAAACTCGCGGGGCGGCGAAAGACATGGCTTGTCCATTTCGTGTTTGAAGTTCTCGACGGCTGAGAGAAGGATTTGGAAGATGTATGGAGCCGAGGACGCAAGGTTTTTATATCTACGAGATTGTACGCTAGCCCAGAAGCTGTAGAAGCGCGAGAATCGTCGTCCATGACTGATACATGTAAATGGCTCTGTGTAGAGTATCGCTGTGCTGGATGACGCCGGAAGGGTAGTGACTGCCCATGGTGCTTCCTTCAGCTCTTTTGAAGTTAGTCAAAGAACTTGAACGATGCGAAAGATGGAACTTTTGCTGTCACGAGGGCAAACTTCATTGCAATCCAATGGAGTGGTTGCTTTTTTTTTTGCAATAGCCGTACGTATAAGGACGATAGCATAAATTCGCCGCATTTGATCGACGCCTATAGACGCTTGTTCATGCTGCTCGTCAGATTGGGATACCATTAGAGGTCGCCGAAGTACGCCATAGAGCTTGCCTGATGAAAGCTGCAATGAAAGCGTGGAAGACGATGAGGATATGCCAAAAGCTGTGTTGTTTGCTTCTTCACCGACCTCCATTATTGTCGATCGCTTTCTTTCAAACGTGGTCGTTTGTCTACCATCAGCCACGGCACGTGGAGCAATCCATCCCTCTCGAGGTACCGGCCCTATGTCAGGCACTACCCGTGCAGCCGGATCCGAAATTCGCGTAAATCGCGGTCAGTGTGATGAACCAGCATCTAACGAACGTGCGGGTACTTGCGTCGCGTGTGTGAAGTCTATCCCTAGAGTCAACGAACCAATCACCACGAGTCCAGCCGCCACGAGCAGCAGATGTCGTTTCAAGTCGCGCACCAAGTCAGGAACGCGACTGCAAATCGCCCGCTTACCCGGGCCGAGTCAATCCACAGAGGAGCCTGGTCGTGTGTTACGTGACGGCAGCGGGTGAAGTGCCAACTGGTGCTTGCTGACCGTTGAGCGCTCAGCATGGGGCGAAGAGCTTGGCCCGATCATTGCCACGAAGGTCGATTTGAGCGCATTATTGTTCCGAGCAGTGTGCCTGAGACTGCAGGGCGAAGGAACAACAAGACACGTTACGAAGTCGATCACGCGCATGCCAACCGCAGCCCAAGATTACGGCAGAGAAATGACGAGTGCGCGGTAATCCGCGTAGCGTCGCCTCTAAGAAAGGCAGTTCAGACGACTCCAGAGCATACGCACGCCGCGACCAATAAGAAGGGTTCTGGCTAGATGTAACCTTGTATTGTGTAGATCCGAGTGAATGGTTCCTTCCGTCGTAGAGGGCAATAAGAGGTCAGTGCGAGGATGGAGCAGCTGTAGCCGTTGGTGCATAATGGCTTGCAGGATGCAGCGAGGTTGCTGCACGACAGCTTGCCCTTTGACTTGGAATGGCAGCTGCGGTATTTGTTAGTGGCTAGAACGGGATACCAGGAGTGTTGTGATGCATGGGGCTGGTGTAGCGAGTTGCGGTGTGCATGGTGAAGTGGATTGGGAGTGGTGGGGAGGAGACGATGAGGGGCGCCATCTCAGGTTGCTGCATGGCTGCAATGCGGGGCACAAGGTTTGAGGAAGTGCCCCTCTCCTTGTGTATCGCGGAACTGCAAATAATAGACGATGAGATGTAAACAAAGGTTTCCAGGCCTTGTATCTTGCGCGGTCTTTGAAAATCGCTACATGAGATGGCCTCCCCTCGTTGACCAGTGTCAGAGTGGCTTACCAAGCATTTGTGAAGCTGTGCGGGACACGACCGAGGTGCAGCAGCGCTTGATGGAATTAGCTTGGGCTCGACGATAGTATTTGCCGGCGCATGTTTCGGCGGACCTCGGGAATGGAGGAGATGGTGACAAACGGGATCACGAAAGGGGCCATGATGGTGCGTCACAGTGCTTGGTGGACAGCAGAAACCAGTCAGATGGTAGTGGGAAGATGTCATGCTCCGGATTGGGAATATGTCTCAGGACGAAATTGATGGTAGCCATACGTCAGCGAAGAGTGGAAGGCAAGCTGGCAACGCTCCACTGGATGAGCTCATGGCTATTCAAGGTATGAGTGCGCTTTATTGTTATTGAAGCAGCAGTATATAGCAGAGTCACAAAAAAGACAGCTAAGCATGTGCCGTTTCTTGTCATTGCTAGGACAAGGCTTCTTCGCCGATGGCCCGCACACTTGTGAGATTGCAGCGGTCAACTGCGACGACTGGCGTACATGAAGAAGATGAAAATCGCGCAAGCCAGGCCTGTTGCGTCAAGACGTACACGGCTTCGAGGCAGTGCACACTGACCCATGGATTACCCCTCGCACACCTGAATATTAGACGTGCCGGCCTCGTGAAGAGATTCCGAGATTCGTCGTCCCCAAGCCCGCCCAGCTCGCTGTTGTGCTGCCCATCGCGGATACCGGCCACGCAGCCCTCGCCCAGCCTTCGACATCTGCCGCTGATCCGCATTTGCTCGGCACGCGTGCACAGCCACTCTGCTGTGGCTCCCGGACCCCGTGGTGGGAAGCAATTTGAAGCCGCCCCAGACCTCACCGCGACGGCGTTTGTCAGCCCGCCCACGCCTTCCACACTGCGCGCGCCTGCCCGACCTGCCCGTTTGCGCCTGGCGACGAGTCCTTCACAGTCACCGTGTTTCTGCACTACAAATCGCCCCACGCGCGCCTTCCGAACCTCATCTCCACCACCACCCGCCGACGCAGATACGCCGTTTTGACCGCCGTGCAATAACAGCACCTGGGCTTCTTGCCCGCGAGACACCTGCGTCTCCGAACCCATATTCTCCATAGAAAAGACCCACACCACATCCTAGCCGCGCCGGCCAGCGAGAGACGAAAAGCAAGGAATATGGCGGCTCCCACGACCAACAACCCACCCAGCACAGCGCTCAAATCCACGGGCTCGCCGTCCGCCTCCGCCTCGACGGCCTCTTCAGTCCACTCGCAGCCCGACACCAACGTCGTCCTCCCCCAGCCCGTCGTCCACCAATCTGGCGCCAGCAGCGTGCAAGCCGCCGCCGAAGCGCTGCTCAAGCCCAAGAAGCCCACCATGACGTCGCGCCTCAGCAGCATGATGGGCATAAAGACCGCCCACATGGACAGAATGGCGACGTCAAGGCCACCAACGGCACCTCGCCCAACGGCCGCCCCCCGCCTGCGCGCCAGGGCTCCGTCACGAGGAAGGAGGGGCCCGGCGCTCCCTACAAGCGCTTCTGGCTCAACGACGACGGCTCCCACGAGCATGTCCTCAAGGCCGCCAAGCGCCAGGAGAAGCTTTCCGACATGTTCCAGAGCCTGATGCTCGGCAAGAAGAAGGGCGACAACGCCGAGGACCAGCCGCTCAGTCTCATGTCAAATTGGGTCGACGTCATGCGCAACGAGAAGGAGAAGCTTGCCGAGCAGAAGAACGCCGTCAACGCTCTCCCGCAGACGCTGGTCCAGAAGTACGGCAAGTGCCAGGAGGTCGTCGGACGCGGTGCCTTTGGTATCGTCCGTGTCGCACACAAGCAGGACCCCAAGGACTCGAAACGAGAGCAGCTCTACGCCGTCAAGGAGTTCAAGCAAAGACCCGGCGAGTCGGCCAAGCGGTACCAGAAGCGTCTCACGTCCGAATTCTGCATATCCTCTTCGATGCAACATCCCAACGTCATTACCACGCTCGACCTACTCCAGGACGAAAAGGGCACATACTGCGAGGTCATGGAGTACTGCTCTGGAGGTGATTTGTACACACTCGTCCTCGCAGCTGGCCAGCTCGAGGTGGCCGAGGCAGACTGCTTCTTCAAGCAGCTGATGCGCGGCGTGGAGTACATGCACGAAATGGGCGTCGCACATCGGGATCTGAAGCCTGAGAACTTGCTCCTCACCACACACGGGTCGATCAAAATCACAGACTTTGGCAATGGCGAATGCTTCCGTATGGCCTGGGAGAAGGAGGCACACATGACGGCTGGTCTCTGTGGCTCAGCTCCCTACATTGCACCCGAGGAGTACGTGGACAAGGAGTTCGATCCCCGTGCTGTCGATGTGTGGGCTTGCGGCATCATCTACATGGCCATGAGGACCGGGCGCCACCTCTGGCGTGTGGCTCAAAAGGGCGAAGACGAGTTCTTCGACCGCTACCTCGAGGACCGGAAAGAGGAGGAGGGTTATCGACCCATTGAGGTTTTGCGAAGAGTGAGTCTCAGCCTATATCATTCTTGGAATTATGCTAACAACTCCCCAGCGACAATGTCGTAACGTCATCTACTCAATCCTCGATCCCATACCTGCCCGCCGCCTGACTGCACACCAAGTGCTTGCTTCTGAATGGGTCTCCGAGGCCAAGGTCTGCCGTGCAGGCAACGAAGGCTTCTAGGCCACTTGATTACGGCTGGACCTCCATATTCTTAGCCTTCGTCCTCGCTCACACGACACGGATCTTGAGCCATTTGTCTGGATGTTTGCGTTCGTTTCTTGACTTGGATTTCTTATTTTGGACATACCCCCTTTACGCCCGATGCCACAGCATAGCGAGATTTTGGGCATCGGCAGCTTGTTGCACTCTCGTATGGCGTTTTCTCCTCTCGGCATCAACGGATCACCATAACGATACACACGAGTACTAGATGATGGCGTACGACGTTGAAGAGCGATGGTGGCGGAATGTACGGTTTGGGTGTAGACCTTCGCTCGCTTGTTAATGGATACTGGCGGCTTGTATCACGGTTGCATAGGGTAGAGCAGCCCGTTATGAATTTCTATACGAACAGCACGCATTTGTATATGAGCGTGCCGCGTGCCACGCTATCAGATATGACCCTGCATATGTCTACCATGAATTTACACATCCGAGCAACTTAGAACATGACATGCAGAAGTGTCTTGCAGAATGCAAACATTTCAGATCACATGCATTGGACGTGAGTCAAGTATGGCGGACATCTCTATCTCTTGGCAACGTCATCGCTTAAACATTCCAAGGTTGGAGGCGCCGCAGCCATTCACTAGGCAAGCGGTGAAACAATCAAACGTGTCTTGACGAATGCGAACGCCTGTTCACGCCGCGCCTGCAACCCCAGCTCCTCCTGGCCTACCCCATGTTCCTCCTTGACTTCACTGGGCGGCTCGAAGAAATGCAACCAAGCAATGCTCACGACTGGCACTCCGCTCCGTAATTGGGCTCTCTTCCTGCTGCTATGCAGCGCACCCGCGTCCACCCTCGCTGAGGCAGCGAATGAGGCGCCTACCGTTGAATCGAGCGCTACTGCACACTCAGGTGCCACGACGCAGCATACCTCTACCCCCGCGCCTTCGCCCACATCCTCGTCGTCGCCTTCACCGTCGTCCGTTCGGAGATACACCAAGAGTCAAAGCACGTGTCCGTACCGCACCATAAACTACATCACGCATACACTCCCGCAGCAATGCGCAAAGACGAGCTGGTCAGCGCCCCCCGAGGCAGGCGCGACTAATGGCACGGGCGCCGAGGAAGGAGCTCTAGCTGGTCTACAGACTCCAATACCTGGTTTAGATGGAGGACTAGAGGGCATTGCGGGAGGAGACAAAAGCACAACCCCAGCAGTAGCGCCCCAGGCTGATCCGACTGGCGCAAGCTCAACTGCATCTAGCAGCGACACAGCAGGCACAGAGCCGGAGCTTGACTTGGAGGCGGACTCGCCATTCGACAACGCCAATTTCCTCTCCTTTGACGAGTGGAAGAAGAGGAACCTGGCCAAGGTCGGTCAGTCACCGGAAAATGTTGGACAAGGACGGGCAGCAGGCACAGACCAAGCCGCACGGCGACGACCCGTCAACGTCAACGCCCTGGACTCACTCGGCGACGAGGGTGAGATCTCTATCGACTTTAGTGGCTTTGGCTCCCCGGACGATGAGAACGTAGCGAACAACTTCCAGCATGGCAAACAAAGCGCGGATGCTTCAAAAGCTGCTGGCGGAGAGGGCAAGGTTGCACCAAGCTCATGGGCTCTCAGCAAAGACGCAGGCAAGACGTGCAAGGAGCGCTTCAACTACGCCTCATTCGACTGTGCTGCTACCGTGTTGAAGACGAACAAGCAGGCGAAGAGCTCGTCTTCCATCTTGGTAGAAAACAAGGACAGCTACATGCTGAACATATGTTCCGCAGACAACAAGTTCCTCATAGTAGAGCTCTGTGACGACATTCTCGTGGACACCATCGTTCTCGCTAACTACGAGTTCTTCTCCTCCATGTTCCGTCATTTCAGGGTGAGCGTGTCAGATCGCTATCCCGTGAAGATGGAAAAGTGGCGCACGCTGGGCACGTTCGAGGCACGGAATTCGAGAGACATTCAGCCTTTTCTCATTACTGAGCCGCAGATCTGGGCAAGATATCTGCGTGTGGAGTTTTTGACTCAGTTTGGCAACGAGTACTATTGTCCGCTTAGCGTTTTGCGTGTCCATGGTACGACGATGATGGAGCAGTTCAGGCAAGAGGAGGAGGAAGCGAGGGGTATCGAAGATGATGAGAATCTGGAGGCTGAGGGTGTTGAGGTTAAGAAGGCGGCTGAGGATAGTGGGCCCCTGCCGCCAGAGGAGATACCGATCGAAGCGGTAAAGGATCTCAGCACAAGTTCAGATGCCTCAGCGGCTAACGAAGTTGCTCAACGAGATGTCTCGCCGGAGGTCAAGACTGAGTCGCCTCGTAACGATGTGCCATATGGAAGGCCTCCGTCGCCTACAGACATGGCAGAGCCAGTGGTGGATAAGCCCCAGCATCAGCCTGTATCAAACTTGACGTCTATCTCATCTTCGTCGGTGATAGGCGATCAACAAATCACGAACGAGAACAGTACAGCCAGCGGGGAGACAAAATCGTCCGCCGCCCCTTCGCCAAGCCCGACAGATGCCACTCCGCAAGTTCAGAGTCCTACATCTGACGCCTCTGCGATCAACTCTTCGAGTTCCATGTCTCGAGTCGACAGTGCTACAACACAGACTACCAACGCTACAGGCTCCTCTTCGAGCGTTCCATCAGCCAAAGCATCAAACAACAGCACCGTCGCAAGTCCACCATCGCAAGGACGAGGGTCGTCTACACAGCCAAACGCGCCTGCACCCTCAACGCAAGAATCATTCTTCAAGTCGATACACAAGCGCCTCCAGTACCTCGAAGCTAACAGCACGCTTTCACTACAATATATCGAAGAACAGTCCCGCGCTCTCCGAGATGCGTTTGTGAAAGTGGAAAAGAGGCAACTGGCAAAGACAGAGAAGTTCTTGGACC